AGGCCAGCGGAGCTCTCCGCCACATCTTACAGAAACTTCAAACTCTACTCTCTAAAGGGCAGCAATGACAGTTCCACCTTGTCCACTCAAACATTTATCTCCGATAAGCATAAGACTCTGTATGCGGCTGATCCTGACTCCGCTGAGAGCTATGAGAACTTGCTTGACTCCCCAATGGAAGAAATTGCAAAACCATCTAGCTCTGGCATTTCTGGAAATTCAACTAATCCACAAGGTGACTCATCTTACCAGCTCAGAGCTGGATCAGTTTCCTCCTTGAACACTCAAAATCCATTTAACACTTCTTTAATGTCCATGAGGCAACATGATGCTTATCAATCCAATTTTGAATCAGATTACTTTGAGAGTCAAAGCCCCGATGCAGATAGCTTTGATGAAGATAAGATGAGACTGAAGCTTCAAGAATTGGAGCGAGCACTTCTTGAGGACAATGATGATGAAAATGATGAGGAAATAAACTGCAGTAGTCAAAGCATGGAAGTGGATGGTGAATGGACCGATCCAATCCAGAATGAATTGCTCCATGACTCACCCAAGGAGTCTTCATCATCTGAGTCTAATGTGAGCAGCATCAGCAGCAACAAAGAAATAACACAAGCTTCTCCTCAGACACCCAAGCAGCTGCTTTACAACTGTGCTGGTGCACTTTCAGAGGGCAACATCAAAGGAGCATCAACAATGATAAGTGAGCTCCGGCAGATGGTCTCGATTCAAGGAGATCCTGCTCAGAGGATTGCAGCTTACATGGTAGAAGGCCTCGCAGCTCGCGTGGCTTCGTCAGGAAAAATTATTTACAGATCTTTGAAATGCAAGGAACCCCCATCCTCTTATCGCCTTGCAGCCATGCAAGTCCTTTTTGAGGTGTGCCCTTGCTTCAAATTTGGCTTTATGGCTGCAAATGGAGCCATTATAGAAGCATGTAAAGATGAAAAAAAAGTTCACATAATAGATTTCGACATAAGCCAGGGGAATCAATACATAACACTCATACAAACACTTGCTAATCGGCTAGGTAAGCCACCACACTTGAGGTTAACAGGGGTTGATGATCCTGAGTCTGTTCAACGTCCTGTTGGGGGCCTTAACATCATTGGACAAAGGCTCGAGAAGCTTGCCGAAGCACTTAAAGTTCCATTTGAGTTTCAAGCAGTGGCCTCGAGGACTTCAATCGTCAATACCTCAATGCTGGACTGCAGGCCCGGGGAAGCACTTTTGGTAAACTTTGCTTTTCAGCTTCACCACATGCCTGATGAAAGTGTTTCAACAGTAAACCAGAGGGACCAGCTTCTTCGGATGGTCAAGAGCTTGAGGCCAAAACTCGTTACAGTTGTAGAACAAGATGTGAACACCAATACTACCCCCTTTTTCCCAAGATTTATTGAAGCCTACAATTACTACTCTGCTGTTTTTGATTCCCTTGATGCAGCTCTCCCAAGAGAGAGTCAGGATAGGATGAATGTTGAAAGGCAGTGCCTGGCACGGGACATAGTGAACATTGTTGCATGCGAAGGAGAGGAAAGAATAGAGCGTTATGAGGTAGCTGGAAAGTGGAGGGCTAGGATGACCATGGCAGGATTTACTTCATGTCCTATGAGCACAAGTATAACTGATTCAATTCGGGAACTTATCAGACAGTACTGTGACAGGTACAAGGTGAAGGAGGAGGCCGGTGCACTTCATTTTGGATGGGAAAACAAAAGTTTGATTGTTGCTTCAGCATGGAGGTGATGATGTTGATGGATATGTATCATTTAGTTCCAAACTACTGTTATGCTTTCATTCAGTCTTGTACTTATAGTTTTGTGTGAGATCAAGACGTACACTGATACAGGTAATCGTATTCGGAGTTAATAAATAAGGACCTAGGGAGCTGCTACGTATCTAACACACTGATATATGATCTCTATGCTTGTAATAGAATAACCTTTCTATACTCTTCTCCGTCTTATTATTTTATTGCTTTCTTTTTTGCTTGTAAGAAAAATGATAGTATTATCTTGACATTTTGAGGCCTTTCAAATTTAATATCCAAACACTGTATGACCTAAATTTAGTGTTTTCAGGTGTTTTCATTGCCCAGGTTTCTGATGCTATCTGCATTAGCCAAATATAGAACACGTCACTTCAATTGAAATGATTTAGTAATTCAAGTCACCTTCAGATTACATTCAAGGGTGACAATCTGTTAATTCAATTGTCATATTTGAACCAGGCACTCGTTTCCTGGAATTAGACAAATTTAACCTAATTCTAATTCAATTGTCATAAAGTCCACTGTGGTTTTGTTTAAATAAATTTGGCCTTTCCAAATTCGAATCTCCTCTCCCTTTGATAAAAATAAAAACTTGACCATCTCAGTTGCATGCACAGGTTGTGTTTGCATCTCTCGGGTCATATGAAGAGAGATGAAAACATAACTGTTGCATGCAAACGTGTTAGCAAACCACCAGTACTCTAGAGTTGTCAACAGGGGAGCAACCCCTCCACAAGAAAGAACAACTCAATGGCAACGGTTATAGCACTCTTTTGCTATCTCAGGTCAATAATGACATACCACGTAGAAATGTTATCACAAGTGTCAAAGCGTAATTGACTAGGATAGTACATTTCATGAAAGTCATTCTCCAACCAAGGATTCCTTTCTTCCTATGGGTAAATTAATAAGATTACGATTCCTTTACTGAAACCCAAAAAATTGGAGTTTTGCATTCCCAAAGTAAAAGGGTCTATAACTCCCTTTGTAAGCAAAGGTGG